GTAGAGGTGATTTTCCAACTAAAATATTTTCTCTGTCCTTAATTATTTGTTCACTTTTAAATTGGTCAATATATTTTTAAAAAATAACTATTACATAGTGAGTTTATCATTTTATCCCTATTAATCATGGAGTGAATGAATTAAAAACTAAGATATTCAAAAAGTTTTACACATTTTTTAAAATAATAAATTGAGGGTAGGTAAAAATAAATTTATCCTTTCTTGATTTGTAAAAATAAATAAATAATTAGGAAGAAAAAAAATTAGATAAATAATTAGGGATAAAGAGAGTAACTTCCTTGCTCTTGGTCAGCACAAATAGTAGCAAGCAAATGGTTAAGTTATTCATTTCTCAAGTAGAGCTAGCTAGGAGTAGTTCCTCAATAGAAGTTTGTGTTAAGTTGGATGTTTCTTTGTCACAAAAAAATAAATCAAAATTTACTTTATTGTGTTGTTTTATTAATTTGAATGATCATTTATATAAGAAACAAAGCTCAAATATATCATCGAACATTACGAAAAGGTTTATTTATACTATCTATAATAAGTTTTGTTCATTTACACCATTTCCATTTTTAAAATGACCATCCATGTCATTATTTGTGAAATTAAAATGTTTTTGATTTTGCAAAATATAAATTATGATTCTGTCACACCATTAATATAATTAAATTACTTTTTTTAAAAAAAATAAAAAAATCTTAAATATACAATTAAACTTTAAAAAAAAACTCATTTATATTATTTAAATTAACAAATAATGATATGCTTAAGTCTTTTCTTAAAAAAAAATGACAAACGAATCACAATTTTTACAAATGACATAATAATCTTTTCATTAAATTTCAATAACATATGACAATTCAAAGTCATCCACAAATTACAATTAATTGATTTGTACTTTTACAAAATTTCAAGATTTATTTATTCAATTTTATACAAGTTTAAATATTTATTTGTGGACCCCAAAGTTAATGTTATAATTACAGTTGAAACTAAGTTAAAAATTATGTTTGTATATTATGTTTTAAATATATGATTCAGTTAAAACGATTCACATGGACCTAATGAAAAAAAAATCCAACTATACAATTTAACCACTCAAATTATTCCAATATAACAATAGTTTGACTTTTCACTAGCATAACAATGATTTGACTTTTCACTATCATAACAATGAAATCTTTACAAAACAAAACAAAAGAAAAATAATAAAAACAAAAATATCAATATATGAAAATATTATAAATTGATTTAAAGAAGATACACATTTTTTGTTCCTAAAAAATGTCTATTTTTCTATTTTTTTTTCTAAAATATTGAATAAACGTATTATCTTTTTCTCTCTCACCCTTTTTTTCTGAAATTTTTCTCTCCTTTTCTTATTTTTCTTCTTACGTCTCTTTCTCCTTTTTTTTACCACCTTTTCCCCCATTTTATTTTTCAAAATTTTCCTAGTTCTTTTTTATTTCTCTTCCTTCATTTTTTTGTTTAAAATTTTATTTTTGGTTAAATCATTTTTACACCAATGTAGGTTAGAATAGTAATAAATATTAGCGTCATCATCAATGTATGCATCCAATTTTTAGTTTATTTGGTTATAATTTTATATTTTATTCAAATTGGTAAAATTGAATTAGATTAATTTGATTGACACCAAAGTTAAATCATATTGTACATCATATAAATTAATTTGGTGATTCTAAAAAGTTGGAATAATATCTCATATGGTAACTCAACTATGCGCTTTTTTTTTTCTTCAAAAAGTCACTCAATTTTGTTTTTTAACTCTAAAGTCACCTAACTATGAGTTCTTTTCTAAGAAAATCTCTCGACTATGAATTTTTTTTTTCTTATAAAGGATATTCATTTATACCAATTAATTAATCTAACTCTAGCACTCTAAAATCAAACATGTAAAGACCATTTTTAAGAAAAAAGCATGTCAAGACCAAATTTTAATTAACTTAACGGTAGGAGAAACATAACTAACAAATTCAAGTCAGTTTCTTTTAATCACTCCTTTTTGTTCCTTCATTACGTATCGTTGTTACTAAAATTTTGAATTTAATGGAGAAGTAATTTTATAATTTCTAAATTTTATGAGCAATACATGGAGATCGTTGTATTCACAGAAAATTGGAGAAAAGAAGTAAAATAAAAGGTAATATATTATATTTATGGCGGATCGGGTTATTAAATGATTTAAATGAATATTTTTTTATTTTTTAAAATTTTAGTAAGAAATGCAAACTTTATGTTTGTAAGTTTAATGAAAATATTTAAGTAAATAGATTGGGTGACTTGTAAGTAAAATATTCATAGTTGAGTGACTTTGTAAGTTAAACACTAACAGTTGAATGAGTTTTTTAAATAAAAACAAAAGTTGAGTGACTTTCTAAGAAAAAACTCATAGTTGAGTGACTTTCGAGTTAGAAACCAAAGTTGAGTCACTTTCTGAGAAAAGACTGCATAATTGAGTGACCATCTGAGATATTAACTATAAAAAGTTGGCACATACTTGATTAGATTATGGTGTTACACGTCATATGGTTGTACCATATAACTAAAACAATTTTACCATCAATTATAAATGAATATCTTTTAGATATAAGTGTCAAAAACACACCTAAACTATATTTTTTTTTGAGTTTCATACCTAAACAATTAAAAGTTTGAGATTCATACCTAAACTATCAATTTTTAGTTTGAGAAACACATCTCTCTCTTTTATACCACACTCATCATGGTATGTGTAATACACTCTCTCTTTTATTTTAAAGAATTTCCACATTACACTCCACATGGACAAAATATTCAACCTTGACAAAAAATAAATAAATTATTAGTATTAGTTAAAATTGAAAATTTAAAAACTATTAAAAAAATAATATTTTCTTTATAAAATAAAATGTAAAATATTTTTCTTACCCCACACCATTTTCTAAAGTTTTTTTTTTTTGTTTAAATTTCTTTTATAAAAGTATTTCATTTTTTACTTCATCTCCTCCCCCTTATCCAATACTAATTTAGATATTAATTAATTTTCTTAAAAATATAATTCTACTCATTCCACTTAACCCTCTGCTTTCAATATTTTTTCCAATGTTTAGATATACATATCGAAAATATTTTTTACTTGTTGCCGCAAGACTTTTTATATTTTTTAGTTGTTTATGTTACATTCGGTACACTAGTATTATTTTTTTCTAAAAATATATGTACGTGCATATCTAACACAAAATAAGAAAAATGTAAAACAATTAAAAATTAGGAGCGAAAAATTATGTAGTATGGGGTAGATTTTTTTAAATAAAATAATATCAATTTCTATCGGGGGAGGAGGGGGGAGGGGAGTGGAGGGGAGGGGGAGGGGGGAGGATGAAATATGAAATTTTTAAAAATATTTTATAAATATTTTTTTTTTAAAAAAAAGGATGGGGTTATCGCGGGGGAGGGGGGATACGTGAAGGAGGTGGTGGAGTGAGATAAGAAAAATAATTAAATTTTTTTATATGGATAGTAATCTTTAATTTTTAATTAATATTATTTTTTTATTATTTAATTTTTATCTAATAATTGAATAATTAATATTATGGACCACTGAAGTGTGTTTCTCAAACTGAAAAGTTATAGTTTAGGTATGAAATTCACACTTTCAATAATTTAGGTATGAAACTAAAAAAAAGTGAATAGTTTAGATGTGTTTTTGACTTTTATCTCTATCTTTTATAATTCTAAATCAACATATCACCAAAAAAACTAGTCAAACCATACATCAGAATATATACTTATTGCAACTTTTAATCAGCAAATCGCCATTATTTTCTAACCAACAAATCCATCAATTGGTTTTAATTGTTATTAGATTTGACCTTGACACAAAGGTAACACCACATTGTACACCTTGTAAATTAACTTGGTGATACTAAAAAATTGATATATACTTCATTAGATTATATGATATTACGCTTTGTAAGGAAGGAACATATGACTAAAAAGTAAAATTAATTCTACCATCAATTATAAATTGATTATTTTTTATAGTTCTATATCAACATATCACTAAAAAATTAATCATACCATCCATCAATTTTAAATCAACAAATATAAATCCACAGATTACCAATATTTTAATTATACCATCCATATAGTTAAAAGTATGAGCTGATTCCTTGAGAAATGAGTGGAAAAATAAAAATCATGTTTTATAGCATAAACTTTCGCTAATTTTCCATGGAAAAAACCTTTGTCCATAGTAGTAGAAAGACTAATAGAATTCTTCACAAACACGGATGCATATCACACCTTAGATGAATCTCACGTTAATGAAAGATAAAATTGAAAATGTGGAAATCTTAGACGAATCTCACGTCAATGAAAGATAAAACTGAAAATGTGGAGACTTGTGTGTTGAAACATGATATACTTAATTAGTGCCAAGTGGCAACTGTAACTTAAGCTAAACAAACTATATATTAAGTTACTTGTTGCAGTAGTTATTAGAGAATAAAATAATATTGAATTATACTATAGTTTATTAAACTAGAGCGGCATAGCATTGATTAAAACAAAACAAAATTGAAAAATAAATCATGCTTCCTAGCCCCTAGACGAATTCAGACGCTGCATTAAACATGCCCATTGCTAAAAAAATTGGATCAAAATCGAGGGTTAAAACCAACGGACAGGATCAGTTTTTTAAATAAAAATCGACGTTAGTTCATGGCTTTCATTTATATTCTTCAATTGTAATTTTTACGCTTAGTAAATATTCTATCCTTCGATTTTTATAAAAAAGAATAATAAAATATCTAGGGACTAGGAAAGAAACTATTAGTTGACTTTCATGCCAAACGAGGCATGGACTAGGAACAATATAATATAGTATATATTGAAAGAAGCAAGAAGTATCTAATTATTTAATTTGTGTGATAACGTCATCTAAGATTTATTAGAAAAGTAACATGTATATATTTACTTTTATTATAATAGTAATTAGTTAACAAAAATAAATATGCAAGGTTGAAACTGTTAAAATCAATTAGTTATGCTATTAAATTACTTATTGTCCTTCAACATTTACTTTTATTTATATGTTGCAATTTATGGATTTTTGACGTTACATATGAGCTTCCAACTTTGTATATAGCCATAGGGCCTTCACTCTCTCTACCACCAATTTTGGTATACATAATTAAATTAGTGGGAACTTTTGATATATTTTTCTTGAATAATCTTCGATGAGTAGTGATTCGAGACGCATACGCATGATGTTACGTTCCAAGTCAAGGTATGAGACAACTTAACTATTTTACTGGTCGCTTGTTATATTCCATCAAGGCTTAGACAGATAAGAAGATCAACTGACTATTTTTGTTTGGTCATGTTAATTGAATATTTGAGTTTATGCATAATCATAAAGACTTAATCTTTTGATGTTTTCTTTTTTTTTTTTGGAGGATTTGCAGAGTAGGGTCCAATAATGATTCTGGAAAGAGGAAAAATTCATCAATCATTTCAAAAACAATTTCTGCATCCAAACTTTGTAGATGTGATGCTTTGGGATCACAAATTGATACCAATGCACTTGTTTCTCTTGATAGGAAGCCCTCTTTTAACCATTCATCTAAGGTATTATAAAAAGTTGTGAATTTACTTATTATCTAGGTACTCACTATGGTATCAAATGGATACAAACTAGTTTGAGATTGTGGCCTAATATGTAAGACTGTAATCATATATAGTTGTTATGTCATTTTTGTTATCAATTTGTCCAAAAATTTAGATTTTTATTTCTTTTCTTGTGTGTGTGTGTAGAATCGAAACGATACACGTGTTGTTATGCAAGAACAAATAGAAAAACTTGAAGAGGATTTGAGAGAGACAAGAGAGAAATTATGTTTTGTTGAAGGAGAAAAGAAGGAAGCTATAAATGAACTAAGTGAGATAAGACAAGTAGCTCACAAGGAGATTGATGGAATAACATCAAGTGAACTCTATGAAGAAGTTAGGATTTTGAAGGAATTGCTTACTAACAAACAAGAAGAGTTAAAGATAAAAGATAAGAATATCAAGTGTTTGAAGTTGGAGGTCGAAAAGGCGATAAAATGTGATCTCACGATACCAGAAAAAGATGTATTTAGTCCTGTAAAAGCATTCAAGATTCGTGTAACGGATTGGTTATCTGATTTTAAGAGAAGGGTTCAAGAATTAGAAGATGAATTGGAGAAGAAGAAGTTATCAGAGTCGAAAATATTTGATGCTTGGTTAGCTAAGACAAGACAGTTTGAAGAAATCAAGATTGAACTCGAAGAATCCATGCTTGAAATAGCCTCTCTTCATGAAAAGATTGAGTCTTTCGACACTTCTCACACTAAAATTTCAACCGAAAAGGAGATAAGAAACGAGAACGAGGAGATTGCATCATCAAAGGTCAAGGCTTTGAATGATGAGATGAGTTTGCTAAAAAGAGAAATGAAATTGGCAAATGAGGCAGAGGAAAAGAGCAGAGAGGCTTTAGATGATTTGGCGTTGGCGTTGAAGGAAGTTTCATACGAAGCATCTGAGGCGAAAGATAAGCTTTGTGCTACACAACAAGAATTAGGACTAGTGAAAAAGGAAGTTAGAAATCTGAAAGAGATTGTCAAAAGCACAAAGGCTAGATATAAAATGTTTTTGGATGAAGCGAAAAGGGAAACAGAATTGTATAGGAACACAGCAGAGAGATTGAAATTAGAGGCGGATGAGTCACTTTCGTCTTGGAATGGGAAAGAAATGAGCTTTATTGAATGTATAAAAGAAGTTCAAGAAGAACGAGATCTTGCTCTACACGAAGCTACTAAGCTCAACGAGTCTCTCAAAGAAGCCGAGCAAAGAAGTAAAGCAGCAAAGGAAGAAAACTACAAATTGAGAGACATCCTAAAACAGGCTATCAATGAGGCAAATGCTGCAAAAGCTGCTTCTGACTTAGCTAGACGCGAAAATTCTCAAATAAAACAGGATGCATTGTGAATGATGAACTTGCATCACGACAGACAATCTCAACGAGTACAAACAGCTGTATTTTTTTCAGCATCAACAGAACACAAACCTGCAGAATGGGGGGCAAAAGAAAATGAAGTGACGAAAGGCGAGGACCACATAAGCCAAGAAATGCAGCTTCAATCACCGTGAGGTAAAGCTTCCAAACGATAACGATCCTGAGAAGGTGTCAAAGGCTATCTATTGTAAACATATTTGCAATTCATATAGTAATAGGAGTTTTTATTAGCAGAAGAAAAACACTAGTTCTGAATTCGGAAGATATAACAAGGTATAGTTTTCATAAGAACAGACTATTGCCTAGTCTACGGTACACTTGAAATGGTATAATTATCGTTCATGTACTTCTACTAAATCGTTGTGTCTATAAGAAAGTAATTTAACCAACATAATCCCACCAAATAACTCTGTTACTTAACATTCAGATTGCATCTCCAAAGTGTCACCATTCAACCCATCACGAGAGGCATCCACATTAAATCTCCGTTAATAGAACTAATAATTTACTATTACACAAGCAATTAAGCACTTGAAACAACATTTTTAATAAGCAAAACAAGTCTTTATATCAACCATTATCAAAAGATTCACGGAAACCCACACTCTCTCAAGAACCTGATAGTCGTGTATCTAAATATCTATGAAATCTAGAATATGGGATGCAACCCCAAAATAAAATCAATCTAAGTCCGAAAAATACACTATAGGTTATATTACAACAAAGCTAACCTGGTCCGCTCAATCAACTAATGCAGACCTATGCGAGGTTATAAACTTACAACGGAAAATTCAGATTCTAAGAATAGAACTGTGAGGGTGTTACAAATTATCTCACCTAGCATATCTAATTTTTTATTTAAGTGAAAAGGGTCTGATATACCCCTCAACTTTGTCATTTGGAACTGATATACCACTCGTTATAAAAGTGGCTCATATATGCCCTTACCGTTATACAAACGGCTCATATATACCCCTGCCGTTACAAAATGGCTCACATATACCCTTCATTTAACAGAAGTTAAAAAAATAGTTTTAAATTTATATTTATTATTTCTATTTTTTTTAAAAAAATTATTTCAGAGTATATATGATTCTTCTATCAAAGTTCAAGGTATATTTTAATTTTTTTCATACATAAATTATTTTTTGACTTCTTTTATTATAATTATTCGAATTTCTTATTCTTGTTTTGTTTTTTTCTTTCATTCTTTAGTTTAAAGACTAAAAAATTAAACTATTTTTTTGTGTGTTGTTG